TTAATGATAGTCATAGGGTACAAGTAAGCGATCAGGAAACAATCAATATCAATATAAATCTTAAGGATACAAGCCACAAAATTAACAGTCCTGCAATCATAGGTGAGAGAAGATGGGTGATAGGAATGATGTGTTGTTACTCTTATGCGTTTAAGAGCTGGTTAATGAAAACAATAAATGGGAAACCTTCCATATTACAATATTAAAAAATAACAGACAGTGTTGCCTCAAGGATAACTTTGTTGCCTTTCTCTCAGGAACTAACTTTTAACCTTCTCTTGCAGATTTTGAACAAGTACGATTCATGGATCTCCTTTCTCAGCAGTGTCAGGTACTGGATGGCCTTTAATATTGAACGAGCGTGCCAGTCCTACTTTGGCTGCGTGCAGTGTATCAGTGGACCCTTAGGGATGTACAGGAACTCCTTACTCCACGAATTTGTGGAAGATTGGTACAACCAGGAATTCATGGGCTCTCAGTGTAGCTTTGGAGACGATCGGCATCTCACCAACAGGGTCCTAAGCCTGGGCTATGCAACGAAGTACACCGCTCGATCCAAGTGCCTTACGGAAACGCCCATCGAATATCTCAGATGGTTGAACCAGCAGACCCGTTGGAGTAAGTCCTATTTCCGTGAGTGGTTATACAACGCCATGTGGTTCCACAAGCATCACTTGTGGATGACCTACGAGGCGGTCATCACAGGGTTCTTTCCCTTTTTTCTCATTGCCACTGTCATACAACTTTTCTACCGGGGGAAACTGTGGAACATCCTTCTCTTCTTGTTGACTGTCCAACTTGTTGGCCTCATCAAGTCTTCCTTTGCGAGCTGCCTTAGAGGGAACATTGTCATGGTGTTTATGTCCCTTTACTCAGTGTTGTACATGTCAAGTTTACTTCCCGCCAAGATGTTTGCAATCGCCACCATAAACAAGGCAGGATGGGGCACATCTGGCCGAAAAACTATCGTGGTCAATTTCATAGGACTCATCCCCGTGTCTGTTTGGTTTACAATCCTTCTAGGCGGGGTTATTTTCACCATATACAAGGAATCTAGGAAGCCATTTTCCGAATCAAAACAGACAGTGCTGATCATTGGCACAATACTTTACGCCTGCTACTGGGTGATGCTTTTGACTTTATATTTAGCTCTTATCACTAAATGTGGCCGGCGGAAGAAGGAACAACAATACGACATGGTGCTTGATGTGTGATTTCACCAGCATGGACATTTTCTTGTTGTTGTTGTTTCATCTTTGCTGCCCTTAGCAAAGTTTCTTCTTCTTCTTCAAGGGACATGGAAATAAACCTTTTCAGAGTTGGTGGCACTGAATTTTGACATCGCTAAGGGAAAAGGATTACTGCTGCTTGGATTTGAACATTAATGCCAAAGCAAAAGAGAAAAACAAAACAAAAGGAAAAAAAAACATAAAATAAAAATGTGATTGTGCCTTTTTTTTGGTAGGGGGAGGATAAAAAATCATGGATTCAACCCATTCCTGCAGGGGGGGGGATGTCTCTGAAAATGCACTTTCTTCTATCACACGTATGTCCGAAAGTGTTAATGTCCTATATACCTCATTACTCACTCTGATATGGACAGACACAGAAGAAAGGGAGTTTTGGAGACACAGGCAAAGGATTTGATAACCCCTTGCGACCATAATTTATAAATTTCTTTGCATTTTCTGTGATTTTTTTTTAAAGAATGATGTGGCACGTGTGTGCTTTTGTGTGTTTGTATGTGTGTGCGTGTGTATGTGTGTAAACGTGAAACTGCCAAATGCAATTCCAAAGTCAATTTTTATAAGAGTGGATGATCCAGTTGTATTTTTATATCATTGTAATAATTTGTCTTTGTTTACCTTTTACACCATTTTTTTTTTTAAAAAAACAAAGCTCGTATTTTATATTACTGCCAAAAATCTTTTCTTCCCATCCTACTTAACAGCCTACTTTTCTAAATTGGTGTTAAAAATTGTTACTTTCAAATAAAAGGTTTAAAAACGAGAACACCCTTGCCCACAATGTGAAAATGGATGCTCTGTGTTTTTGTTTTAAGAATTAAAACTTAATTTCTGTATTTTTCAATGGATGAATGACTATTTCTATTACAGTATATAAAAACCTGTGCGACTTGCTTTAATTTTATTTGGAAAAAGCAACCTGATTGTCAGTTGATGGGGACAGAAAAACGGTGAGGGAAACTTCTAAAAAGGTCTTGTACGTCAGCCCACCAAGTGTGGTTTTTCATGTGAGTCTCATCCCTTGCTCTCTGTTCCTTGAGCATCGGTCAAACCAATCCATCCAGTGAGAGCACATCATAGTGAAGCAAGCCCCACCACTTCTGTTGGGGCATCATGACATCACTTGTGTGATGTCAAAAAGGGCAGGGCTCCTATTACAACAGTTCTTCCATTTTGGTAAAAACAGCTAGAACTGTAGCTCTCCACACCTATTGTCCCAGTTTCCTACCGATAATTCTATTATTTGTTGCACCTGCAGAGCAGGGGGGGATATTCACTTACCTTCCTTACAGGTTTCCAAATGTGAGCACATGCGCTCCACCATGTCCGTGCATGCACTCCGCCTGCCACACATATGCTTTGCCTTAAAAAAAATGGCCTAAATGTGATGCCGTAGAGCTGGGGCAGGTGGGCGAGGCCATCCACAATTTCTACTGCTGGTTCGGACAAACCGGTTAGAACCAGCAGAATGCCACCTCTGTTGCAGAGTGCTCGCCCTACATTCTCCTGGGAATTCTGAGTGATTCTGCACAACTCTGTGTGTTCAGTGTGGGTTGTACTGAAGGACATTCTGCCCCATTAAGGCCAAAGGGATAGATATGTGCAATTGTTTTCCCCTCCCAGAATAACAGAGTTGGGAGGGAGATTTTCTAGTTCAGCCCCCTATTCAAACAGGGAACTCTATACCATTTCAGACAAATGGTTGTACAAATCTCTTCTTAAAAACTTCAAATGTTGGAGCACTCACAACTTCGGGAGGCAAGTCATTCCACTGATTAATTGCTCTCACTGTCAAGAAATTTCTCCTTAGTTCTAGGATGCTTCTCTCCTTTATCAGTTTCCACCCATTGCTTCTTGTCCTGCCTTCAGGTGCTTTGGATGTTGCAAAACAGAATCTATTTCCTAACAGATGAATCAATCCCATAACCTCTGTTTCAACCAAAGATCTGTGAGGATCTTTGAGAGCGGCAGTGGTACAGTGGCTAGAGTGCAGTATTGCAGACTAACTCTGCCCACAGCCTGGAGTTCGATCTACATTGTCTCAAGGTTGATTCTGCCTTCCATCCTTCTGAGGTGGGTAATATGAGGACCCAAATTGTTGAGGGCAATATGCTGACTCTGTAAACCGCTTAGAGAGGGCTGTAAAGCACTGTGAAGCGGTACATAAGTCTAAATGCTATTGCTTTTGCTATCTTGGAGGAAGGTAATTTACAAGCTGTGAACACACGACATAATCAAAGATACTAATTAAGGTACTCAATCATGTAGCAGTTGGTAGCCATGGTCCAGTATTCCTGCTTCTGTGTTACCCAGAAATGTTTAAAAGGTACAGAAATGCCATTAAAACCAAAAGATTCACAAACCACAGCAACTTTAAATCAATGTTAGTGAAAATGATTTTTTTTAAAAAAAAACAAAGCTCGTATTTTATATTACTGCCAAAAATCTTTTCTTCCCATCCTACTTAACAGCCTACTTTTCTAAATTGGTGTTAAAAATTGTTACTTTCAAATAAAAGGTTTAAAAACGAGAACACCCTTGCCCACAATGTGAAAATGGATGCTCTGTGTTTTTGTTTTAAGAATTAAAACTTAATTTCTGTATTTTTCAATGGATGAATGACTATTTCTATTACAGTATATAAAAACCTGTGCGACTTGCTTTAATTTTATTTGGAAAAAGCAACCTGATTGTCAGTTGATGGGGACAGAAAAACGGTGAGGGAAACTTCTAAAAAGGTCTTCTACGTCAGCCTACCAAGTGTGGTTTTTCATGTGAGTCTCATCCCTTGCTCTCTGTTCCTTGAGCATCGGTCAAACCAATCCATCCGGTGATAGCGCATCACAGTGAAGCAAGCCCCACCACTTCTGTTGGGGCATCATGACATCACTTGTGTGATGTCAAAAAGGGCAGGGCTCCTATTACAACAGTTCTTCCATTTTGGTAAAAACAGCTAGAACTGTAGCTCTCCACACCTATTGTCCCAGTTTCCTACCGATAATTCTATTATTTGTTGCACCTGCAGAGCAGGGGGGGGTATTCACTTACCTTCTTTACAGGTTTCCAAATGTGAGCACATGCGCTCCACCATGTCCGTGCATGCACTCCGCCTGTCACACATATGCTTTGCCTTAAAAAAAATGGCCTAAATGTGATGCCGTAGAGCTGGGGCAGGTGGGCGAGGCCATCCACAATTTCTACTGCTGGTTCGGACAAACCGGTTAGAACCAGCAGAATGCCACCTTTGTTGCAGAGTGCTCGCCCTACATTCTCCTGGGAATTCTGAGTGATTCTGCACAACTCTGTGTGTTCAGTGTGGGTTGTACTGAAGGACATTCTGCCCCATTAAGGCCAAAGGGATAGATATGTGCAATTGTTTTCCCCTCCCAGAATAACAGAGTTGGGAGGGAGATTTTCTAGTTCAGCCCCCTATTCAAACAGGGAACTCTATACCATTTCAGACAAATGGTTGTACAAATCTCTTCTTAAAAACTTCAAATGTTGGAGCACTCACAACTTCGGGAGGCAAATCATTCCACTGATTAATTGCTCTCACTGTCAAGAAATTTCTCCTTAGTTCTAGGATGCTTCTCTCCTTTATCAGTTTCCACCCATTGCTTCTTGTCCTGCCTTCAGGTGCTTTGGATGTTGCAAAACAGAATCTATTTCCTAACAGATGAATCAATCCCATAACCTCTGTTTCAACCAAAGATCTGTGAGGATCTTTGAGAGCGGCAGTGGTACAGTGGCTAGAGTGCAGTATTGCAGACTAACTCTGCCCACAGCCTGGAGTTCGATCTACATTGTCTCAAGGTTGATTCTGCCTTCCATTCTTCTGAGGTGGGTAATATGAGGACCCAAATTGTTGAGGGCAATATGCTGACTCTGTAAACCGCTTAGAGAGGGCTGTAAAGCACTGTGAAGCGGTACATAAGTCTAAATGCTATTGCTTTTGCTATCTTGGAGGAAGGTAATTTACAAGCTGTGAACACACGACATAATCAAAGATACTAATTAAGGTACTCAATCATGTAGCAGTTGGTAGCCATGGTCCAGTATTCCTGCTTCTGTGTTACTCAGAAATGTTTAAAAGGTACAGAAATGCCATTAAAACCAAAAGATTCACAAACCACAGCAACTTTAAATCAATGTTAGTGAAAATGATTTTTTTTAAAAAAAATGCACACAGAGGAAGTGCAACTAAAAGAAATTTGAATATCATTTTTCAATTCAAATGAAACTGAAAAGGGGTCTTAACATAATTCCTTACTTCCCAAGTTTTTAAACACATTAGCTGGATCTAAAGCTAGGTTAGTCACATATTAACCCAATATCTCATCTCAAAAATTTCCCATCCAAGATTCTCAGTCAGCATGGCAATTGATTTGAAGGGAAATGGCAATTTTGCCAATCAGAAGAATGCTGGCTTATGGAAGATGACTTAAATAAGTCTAATGCCCCATTGATTTCCATAGACAGAGATGTGATTACAAATATAATCTCATAAGTTTACTATAAAACCCACAGGGCTGAATGTGATTTACTCCAAGGTAACATGAGCATACTAGATGCAACTCTGTGAAATGAATAAACATGGACATGGGCTGTTGTGATACCATCTATTCCAATTTCATTTATACCAGCATTTTCTCAACATTGAGCATTTTAAAATGTGTAGACTTCAGCTTAGACTTAAGATATACATCTTAAAATGGTCAACATTGAGAAATGCTGATCTTCACGTTTGTAAACAAAGTTTGTTTTACTTATGCCTATAAGTATGTTTCTAGTTTAGAAAAAGAAAAAAATTGGGGCCTAATGCCTATGGGTTGGGAAAAATCATACAATATTAATTTTCAAAGGATATTTACTGAAATATTATCAGTACCACACTGGTTTGCAAATCTAGTTTCTTGACTGGATTGTGGAAAATACGTTCATCTGATTTCAGACACCTCTTTGACCATCTTTTATTAAAATGCTTCTTTTTATGTCATAAAATGATGTGTAACAGACTTCCT